TTAGGCAGAGCCTAGACAATTGTAGCCGTCTGGTCTTGCCTCCATGCTACGATTATTTAGTTCGCAGATACTTTCGTCGATGACAAAGTTGATGCTCTGACACTTTTTGCCTTTTTCGCACGTCTTGACGCAAACATCCGGGCTATTAACCCTGAAGGTGTCATATGTGTGTCCTTTAAGAGCTTTTTTGAAAGTTGACTTTTGTGATTCGCACTTGCTGATGGCGTTGGCACATGGGTTCTTGCATACCATAGGTAGAAAAACAGCCACACACAGCACTCTCAGAACTTTGAAGGTCTTCATATCATAGGCATCAGGATATGCGGCTCCTTTAATGTACCAAAAGGTGAGTGTTTTTCGGAAGCAAGTAATCATTTCTCATGCTTTCATGCCAAGGAAGTTCCATCTACAGCTAAGCAAAATATGGGGTTAGGCGTAAAAGGTTAGTTTACTAATTCGAAAGTGATATTACTTAACAAAGCAATTTTTTAGGCTTGCATTGTAAGCTGAGTTTAAAAAGAGGAAAAAAAGAAGTAATGAACAATCCCGATTTCATGAAGGAAAAAAGGTCGACCACTCATAACGTTACTTTTATCTCTTTGTTTTTGTATTGGCTGGCTTTACAATCCTTTCTCTATCCTCACTAATTAATAAACACCATTCATGTATTACCTTGCGGAAGACACGGAAGTTTTATATAGGAGCACAGAGGATGAGTAACTCTACTGAGCTATTTGAGCTCTGAGCAATTTATTCTGAACTGAGTCATATCTCTACGAACACACGACTGTCTTAGGAAATTGTTGTCTTTTATCCTTTTCAGTGCAACGCCGCAGTTTTTCGGCGCCTTTTCACAGTATTCCCTCTGCATGGCACACATATACATAGAAGTCATCAAAGTACACTGTACGACATAAACATACACATGTCACATAAACAAAACCCATTGATGAACATTAAGTGATTACCAAAGACGCCACCGAGATGATTTGACGAAAAAAGACAAACAAATTACGGAGTTTTCAACAAGGGAGGAAAAAGACTAAACTCAACGACTGAAAAGCAGGTGCAATTGTGAGAAGCGTCCATGGGGATCTGGAAGTATCTGGTTAATATTTAGGATTTCCCATACCAATAAATTCACGTTTTCCCAGGGTTCGACTCAAAGGAAAAATTTTCTTTGTTTCCCCCAGTTTGACTGAAAGTATAGCAAGGATTAATTTTCCATAAGCATAATGTACTGAGTAAAATCTCTTGATTCGTTCATGATCAGAAAATTTAGAAGGGATAGAAATGTCTTGTTTTTTCAATTTACTGCAGGTTTGAATCAGGTTAGGCTATCTTTCATTAATTGCACGAACTGGGTGCCGACCTTAATCCTTGTTTACCTGTTAATCATAGATTGCCCGTGTTACTTAAAAGCACCTAGGAATAAAAGAACTAAAAATGTATTTTTAACAGTCTAGTAGATCTTCATTCAAACAAAGTGGTGAAATCTACTTAAGCTTCAACTGAAAGGAAAAAAATGACCTTGTGATATTTTTTTTCTTTCTTTCTCTACTTTCTCGCAAATGAAACGACGTTTGAAAGTTCATTTTAGGTACGCTGAGAAGTGAAGCATTTTAACCATATTTTTAGATCTGCATGTCGACTATAGCTCTTTCATAGGAATCACTCAACATAAGCGTAACTTTCGAAGCAGAGAGAATAATTGCAGTGCTCCAGAATATGCTTAGCTCAACAGGGGTTGATACGCGAACTAAGGTATGTTATGGACTGATCTTACCTTAAAGAAAAAAATTCGTTATCTTTGCCCTTTCAGTTACGTCTAAAAACATTTCCAATGCATCTCAGCATCAAATAGGCCGATAATATCCTCTCTGGATTTAAATGATTACTTTCCTGTAGTTTCCAAATGTGAGGCTGTCGTAACTATATTACCTTTAATTAGAGCGCACTCGAACAGGATGGTTTCGTTTGTACTTTGTATTATAATGACTCTTCTGTACTTATTATACTGACCCCTTATCTCTATTGGTTAACAGAGTACTTAAGGTTTATTCCAAATTAGCCGTATGGTATTTTCGCAATCTGGTTGGTTTAATATTGCACCTGCAGTTGACTAATAGATATCCCTGAGGGGAGCTTTTTACTTTACAGAGAAGTATTTACTTAGATAAACCTTTGCGGCAAAAATGTTGGAAAGTGGAAACTCGCTGAAAATTTCAGTAAATTTCGAACTAAAACGGCTACCTCAAGCCATTTTATTTGATAAAAAAACTTGGTTGAGTTTTTTGGGCTTCATAACTTATGAAGCCCAAAAAACTAAACCAAGTTTTTCTATCATATAAAACGGCTTGAGGAAGCCGTTTTAGCTCGAAATTTACTGAAATTTTCAGCGGGTTTCCACTTTCCAACATTTTTGCCGCAAAGGTTTATCTTCGTAAATACTACTCTGTAGAGTAAAAAGCTCCTATCAGGGATATCTATTAGTCAACTGCAGGTGCAATCTTAACTGAAACCATCCAGATTGGGAAATTACCATGGGGCTAATTTGGAATAAACCGTAAGTACTCTGTTAACCAATAGAGATAAGGGGTCAGTATAATAAGTACAGAAGAGTCATTATAATACAAAGTAAAAACGAAACCATCCTATTTCGTGCAAGATTTCATACTAAGATGTCTGCATAACAATTATTCTAACAGCTGTATATTTTGACTTTGACAAAACGTCATTGTCAGCCTGTTTGTATATGCATTGTAAACATTTGACTCTTCACTCAGCTACAAGATAAACCAAAAGTTACCTTCGCAGCAGAAAGTAAATTTATGACGAGATTTCATGTTATAGCTGAGAAAATGAGGAATTTGGGCAGAATTAAAATAGTCTCACCAAGGAATACTAAATCAAACAACATATCTAGGCAAAGGGGGTTAGTTTCTGTGGTGCTGCGTCGGTGGGAGTAACAATGTAATTTGGCACGGTTTTATCAACTTGCGTGATAATGTAAATTATCCACTGTAAAGAGTTTCAAAGCTGACATTTCGAGCGTTAGTCCTTCTGTGATAATGAAAATTAGCCACCGTAAAAGTGTAAAGAGTATCAAAGCTGACGTTTCGAGAAGGGCTAATGTTCGAAATGTCAACTTTGAAACTTTACGGTGGCTAATTTACATTATTCAACTCAGTTGGCAAAACCATAATTACCTCTCTAAGTGCTGATAGCTTGTCTTACGAATTATTTTAGCACGACTCATAGTTTGTCACAAGCTAACTCAATCATTTAATAGAGCTGATTTACGCGAGATCAAACTTGGCACAACCAAAATGGAATGCAAGCTATCAAATCGAAAAGAAAATTGTCCGGAATCAGATGGTCCCAGCACCCGAAACCGAACAAAAATACCCCAATTTGGCGAAATCGGACGCAACCGTTCAAAATCTGACGAAAGCATCCGAAATCGCATGGAAGGGTTCGCAATTTGACAAGACGAACCGAACTTAGGCGGACTCCATACGAAAGCGTCCGAAATCGGATGGAAGGGTTCGCAATTTGACAAGACCAACCGAACTTAGGCGGACTCCATACGAAAGCGTCCGAAATCGTACGGAGGTGTCAGAATCTGACCAAACCAGTGTCCGAAATCGAACGGAAACGCTCGAAATAAAACTGAGACGAATCGCCAGGCCTGTATAGGATGTTCTGCTCATTTTAAGTCCCTCTGCATAAAATGAACTCGGAACTTATTCTTTTCCCTTTCTGATTTCAGTGTTCTTTTATTTCTTTTAAACATTTCCTTGTCAATTTCATATTAAAAAGGCTTTTTGCTTGAACAAGGCTAGTATTTTCGGCATCTTTTAAACCGATTTTCGTGGAGGCGACTGATTAGGAAACACGGTTAAACAAAAGATGAAAACAACGGTGGTGTATTGAATTTATGCTCCACGACTGTACTTTTTTTGTTTTCCCATGTTGTACGTGACCGGTGAAACGAATGCCCAGTTTCTATTGGTAAATCCGTCAAAATTGATTGATTGCCATCATAAGCGTTGTATAAGTTCGAGTATGAAAACCTTAAAAAATATGCAAGAAAGAAGTCTGTCGGGTTCATATTCAGTAACCTCTGCTGTTGTTTTCGGTATGGAATAGTTTGCCGGACTTAGATGTCCAACATATTGGTAACCCCAATCTATTACAGCGCTCTCATTCGTATTTTGACGGTGAGATTGTGTGTTGACTCTTGTAAACTCATTAGGAAAAGAATATTATTTCCCTTTGTTTCCAGCCTAATCTTGATCACAGCCAGATTAATATCGGCCGATGAGTAAAGCAAAACTGATCGGAAAGCTGAACAATGCGAGATCACAACTATTATCGGGCTTCGATATATAAGAGTAACCCTTGCGGGACTTTTTCGGTTAGAAATTAACTTTGTCCGGAATGGCACGTTCGCGAAATGACGTAATTGCTTAAATTAGATCACCGGCTTCTGTGGGTTGTGTTCTCGCATACTTAAATTATGGAGCAGAATATTCCGAATTGACTTTAGATTTTACTATTAAACAAGTAATATACACTCCTTTTCCTTCGGAAAAAAAAATAAAAAGGGAAGTAAATCAAATTCCCCAAAGTTTTTTGATCGAGAACGTATGAACCGAAGTCTTGGTTACCTAGCAGCAAAGGCGCGTTGGCTGCCCTCTTTCAACCGTTGAACAATAAAGAGAATATTAGTTTTGATCAGTTAAGTTTTTACATCTCCTTGATGGTGGAGACCAGTAACATTTTTTTTGTAATTACTTCTGCATTGAAATATGTTTCTTTTTTAATTTCAAACCAAAGGCTACAAGACTTTTAAATTTAAGTAGAACATACGGCTGAAAACGACTGTCTGTGATAAGTAGAGAAAGTAAATTCTTATTACTGCGGGTTGTCAAAATCGTACTTCGCGTTCAGTCAAATTCTATTGAGGCTTAAAGAAGCCATCATACTTTCACGTCGTTTTAAAAAAAAAGCACAAGCTGCATTTGAGAAGAGTACGCTCTTTACGTAAGGAAGATTGGTAAACGTCGAGTGTGGATCATCGAAAGGTAAATGCCGTCGGGAAGATAGCAGTTTATTGAAAATGTGGCAAATCTGGGGACGCTCGGTATCGCAACCGCGTTCGAATTGTGTGACTTCGAACCTACTCGTCGTGTTGTGTTTATTTGCGATCTTTGCAGCTATATCAGGCCAAGATTCATGTAGTACTGGACCTTGTTATCCTACTCCCTCGGATATTTCGACGTATTTCAATGTTACGGCGAACTCAACTTGCGGCGAATCGCCAGAGCCATACTGCATTAACTTGGATTGCAGTAAAATTTGCAATGCGAACGACCCGAATCTTACACATCCTGCCAGTTTTGTTAATGACGATTTTAGAGATAACACATTCTGGAAGTCTAAGAACTACGAGTTTCCTGTTTTTCTACAACTGGAAGTTCGAAGAACTTTCATGCTTTATCAATCTGTGGTTACTTTTTCCCACGAATTACCGGCTGCGATGTACCTTTTGAAGTCAAATGACTCTGGAAGAACATGGAGTCCTCTGTCCTACTTTGCAACGAACTGTACAAAGTATTTTAATCTACCAGAAACGCCAGAAAACGAAATAGAGGGTTTGAAAGTTCAATGTTTCAAAATAGACACCGCTTCAAATCTCAACAAGCAGGTAAGCTTTTAGGATTGATTTTGTGGATGCTGCAGTCGGGAGAAGCTCATTATACAATTAGTTGTTGCTATTATTTCCTTATATGTATAGTATATATAGTATGTTTATGGCCATAGCAATCGAAAATTATTTGAGCGATCGTAGTCACATAAGTCACTTGTAAGTAGAGGGTATGTATATTATGGAAGTGGTTTCTGCGTTTGCTTTGAATTAGGAATTGTGGTTGCATAGGTTTCCCGTACCTGTTAATCAAGGCGTATTATGCTAAATTGACGCTATTTATGTTGGAAAGTTGCTTCACCTTTATTAAATAAGCTTTGTTTTCAGAAATCTGCGATAAATTGTAGAAAATGGTCAAGCGAAAGGAACCATTGCAACTAATTTCCTCGTAAACGCACAGTCTTAGTTACGAATTGTTTACTGAATCTTTATCATTTCTAAGGATCGCATTACCACATCACCTTCGGATTCCAAATGTTGATTGACACAAAAATTGATTGGAAAGGTTCTTTAGTTACATTTCTCTTGTACTTCGCCACAAATCTGCTCAACATTCATTGATTACGTTCATTGTTAAATTGTGCGCGTCCATTCGATAAATGAACACATACGAAGTCTGGTAAAACGTGTTAGAAATTTGTAATTTTGTAACGCGGAAGACGATTAAATTTGTTTGAATTTGTTTAAGTTACTACTCACGAAATCGATGGTAACCATTAACTCATTACATTAAAATTATTCTGGTTGTTTACGTTTAAGAATACTACGGGTTACTTGTGGATATTGTTAAGTACAACTGGAGGCTTATTTTCATCCCTCTGTATTCATGCATCCAAAACATAAAATGTTCTGGAATGCAATGGTCTCCAGTTTGTATATAAACTTAGCTGAAGCTATTGTTTACAGTTGGAGATTGTGTTTTCTTTTGCAAATTTTTCAGAGCTGACATCATACATTTACATCTTTGCCTCTGATTATGATTTATGGTAGCTCAAATTTTAAAGAAAGAAAAGAAGGAAGTTGAAAAAAATTAAAATTCACAGTCAGTCTTTGACTAATTAAAGCAATTTCAATTTGGTAAAATTAATTTTAGTTTACAATGGTTGGTTTAGCTAACTTGCATCTTTTCAAGGAGAGGTTAAGTTTTATCTGTCTTATTGCAAAGGAATGAATACTTTACTTCTTATTTATCTTTGAAAATGTTTGTAGTAGTTTATGAAATGTTTTTTATGGATACCTGTAAATTATCATAGTACCTGAGGGTAAGAACCTCAAAAACACTAGCCAATACAATGCTTATTGATATATTGAGCAAGGTAATATCAGAGAGATTGATTTGTTGTAGTATTGCGAAAGATGGATGTGAAACACTGGGAAACTGTTGTTTCAATTTTATTCCAGGTGATGGTTAAAATGTTGGGGTTAATGATATTTTTTTTGCGAAAGGAGTAGTGACCAACCTCAATTTCAACAAAGTCTTATACTTCATTATGTATAAGTTCTTGAATAAAGAAAACAATGATGAAAATAATGGATTGACTTTTGGACCATAGCTTTTTTTTAGTATAGAATGAGATTTAGAATAGAATGGGATTGCATGGAATTCCTCCTTGATTCTCCTTTATTTTATTTTCCCCAAACATTTGAGGTACATGTAATGTGCCTGGACTAGTATTTTGAATTGATTTTGTATTATTAAAAGAGTGGCTGAAACAATCCAAGGTCTCATAAATAGATGAGGTGCTGGAAAATGCGAGTTATCAAGTGATGAAGAAGAGTGAATTTTTTAAATGTTGGAGCAAATATTGAAATACATGTACATCCTTTTCTTCTCTTGTAGCTCTTTTATACTCCAATGAAGGACCCAGCTGCAGCACAGGACCTTCTCACTGATACAGAGAAACAGGCCTTCTTTCTTATGACCGATATAAAAATGGTTCTAGTGAAGTTTATAATTCCTGGTGGGGTTGACACAGAATTATTATCAGATAGTCTCAAGAGAAGCTTCTTTTTCACTGTGTCAGACTGGGATGTATTAGCATCTTGCTTCTGCAATGGCCAGGCATCACAGTGTGATAAAGATGTAAGTACACTGTATGAATTCCATTATTTTACTCTGGATGGATCTTGGCTAGAGTCAGTGATCCACCATCATTAAGTTAGATTGAGATGGTCATGGCTTGACATGAGCTTTTCAACTTACTAGCAAAGTGGCTGGTGACATCTTAGATGTTACAACAATTTCAGTTTGTTTACTAGCCAAACTTGCTAATGGAAAGTGAAAACCACTAGCCAAAACTGAATTTCTACTAGTCTGTGGCTATAGTTGGCTACTATAAGTGTGGAGCTCTGATGGTCCTGAATGTTTTTTACATTCTGCAAACTTGCAGCATATATCTCCTCTGGTTTAACCCTTAAATTCTGAAAGTGAGAAGTATTTACTTAATCTCCTGATAGAAACACTGCTGAATCGTTCATTAACATCACAAGAAAGAAAGGAAATGATTGCTAACTTCAGAAAGTTTCATCGATGGTTAAACAAATTCTTCTTGTCAGTACCAAAGGAAATGAATAAAGAGAATAATTTATGGAGAATACAGATACCGATGTTAGGGTGTAAACGGTCATGCGATGTTCGGTAGAGACATGCTCATGATCAAGGCTGTGTTCTAAGAAAAATTGAAGGGAGCCCAGTGCTCTGAAACTGTGAAATCCAGGGTGTCCAGCATATGCTTTTTTTATGAAAAGACTAAGATGCCTGAGTTGCCCACGAGCAAAAGTAACGTGCCAGGGGTGACCGGGCACTGCTAGACCACAGGCTTGGTTCTCCTCCTCATTGGTCAAAATTAAAGTGAATTGATTAATATGTTAATTTACTTATTGTCCATCCCCGTTGTGGCTAATTGCATGAAGGGCAGTATTTGTGCATGTAAGTAAGAATCCATTGGAGGATAATAATTTTATACATTGGCGCTGGAAGAAATGTGTGAAAAGAAAACAACGTTCAGGGTTAAGGATGTTAATTGGAGTCAAATGGTTGAACCTCTTTAACTATATGTTCATCTGCTTTGCATTATATTTAAAAAAAAAAACGTATTACTTGAAACTGAATTTGTTTTAATGTACATTCTAGTCAAGAACTAGATAAAAAGACATTAGTTAATGCTCATACATCAACAGATAATATGTATAAATGAAAGTGAATGTCAGATTTTTTTACATTATTTTATTTTTGTCTAGGAAGTTTGATATCATATTATATGACTGTGTATGTAAATTTTTAGGACTTATCCAAATGTATATGTGAAAGTAATACCGATGGTCTAAACTGTGAAAAGTGTTTACCACTCTATAATAACAAACCTTACCAGATACGAGAAGCTTGTGAAGGTGAGATGTGATGCTCTGCAACACCTTTTCAATTAGTGTTTGTCTTTTTACGTTTGGTTTTTGTTTTGTTTATAAATTATTTAAATTGATGATACTAGGGGTAATCACTCCTTTCCAAGAAAGACATCTTGCAAGTGTAATTGAGAAAAATATTTACAAGTGTTGATTAAAAGATGATGGAAAAATACTGAAAACGATGACAGTTCATATGTTGCATTTTGAGATCTGTTCCAAAATTCCTTCAACTCCTGTTTGAATCGTGAAATCTCGCTACAATTAAATGTTTTACCTTTATTTAAAATTTCATTATAACATAGGTACATGTTTATACAAATATCTCTCACTGTTGAAAAAAAAAAAAAATCCTTAAACTAAATTAACCCATGCCCCTTGTTTTCAGCATGTGAATGTAACAGGCATGCTGACAGCTGCTCATACAATGAAACCAAAAGATATGGAGTTTGTAATGATTGCAAGCACAACACAACAGGGGATAAGTGTGAGCTCTGCATGGAGACCTTCTACAGAAACCCAGCTGTTTCACAGAATGCCTCCAATACTTGTCTGGGTAAATATGTACATTTATCTTAAAGTTTGCTTCAATGACAATCACATCACCATGTGTATGATTGTACAGAAACACTCTGTAAACTCAAATGTCTATTTTGAGGGATTTTAACCTAAATGTACTTTGGAATCTGCAATTATATACACCTGTAGATTCAGGGTGCTCTGAACACTAGTGTTCTCCTTTTCAGGTGGTAAGCAGAATAATTTATCCCCTCTAGTGCCTTTCATATATTTCCGCTTTCAGTTGCTTGGAATCAATTCTTGAAAATTCAACAGGTTAAAGGGTTGCTCTACTGGTTTGATAATTTATGTTAACTGTCATGCTAAAAATAAGGGGCAACACTGAGCACTATTAATAGAAAGTTTTTAAAGTTTTTTTTTTTTTGTAATTATTAGATTAGAGTAGGTACTTGTATGTAAGGAATTAATTTAAAGCCAGATGAAAAGTAGCTCTTTATTTGTGATGCAATTTAAAGTGAGTTAAAAAAAAGTTGAATAGTGCAATTGTTTCAAAGTTGTTCAGTATATTTAATCATTATCAAACTAATTTTTTATACTTTGGTGCATTACAGCCTGTGCATGTCATGTACCTGGTGTAAACAGTTCAGCTGACAGCTCACGATGTGACAGTGATACTGGTCAGTGTGCTTGTAAGAGTCTTGTGACAGGAAGGGCCTGTGATATGTGCCGTGATACTTACTGGAAACTAACTGCAGACAATGACGCAGGCTGTGAAGGTATCCATTAGATTGTTAAAGAAAACTGTCTGAACAGGTTGATATTATTGTCACATGGTGGTTAGACATCTTGAAGTAAATTTTAAGTGAAATGGGAAGTACATACAACTTGTACAGAGTTGTCATTAACGCACAGGTGTGCGTCTTATACGCACAAGAAATGAAAACGACTCACAGTTTTTGCCAATGTGCGTCCTCGGGACGCAGGGAAAAGGTTCCGACTAGTTAGGAGACTTGGTCTGGCTGGGCCTTACCCAAGAATTACTGCGATCATCATGGCATGTCCTTTGACCCGCCATTTTGTCATGGTCAAGAACATGTCTACTCAGAAGGGCTTATTCAATATATTAGATATTTGAAAGGGGAAACCTGGATGTGATACAGATCTGGGGGATGATACCCAAGTGAAGAAACGCAAATTTTATCCTGAATGGTTGGAGGAGTTTCAATAGTTAAAATATGATTCGACCGAAAAACAAGTGGTTGGTGTTAAGAAACATGAGCACACTTTATTCCAAAATTAAAGCTCTATTAGTAGTGTTAACACCTGGTCTTGGCTTTTGCCTCTCTGTTAGAAACTATAAAATCAAATTTTAGTAAAAGGCAGGGAACCCCTAAAAAGCTCAAAGGACCCCCAACTTTTTGGAACTGGGGGTCCCAAGGACCCTCAACTATCAAAACTAATGGGAACTCTGTTGTAGCCCCCAATGAATTTGTTACATTTATCACTCAGGGAACAATACATACACACTTGTAGCGTTTAGTTAAAAGGGTAATATGTGATTTTACCTTAAATTTTTTCAAAAGAGCTGATGCTTCAAGCATGTGCTGATATTTATGTCAGAAAAAAATTAATGTACAGCAATATTTGAAGTGATGTTTCTATTTTGTGTAATTTTAGAATGTCACTGCAATTTAACTGGAACAGAGAATGGTTCTGATGTGTGCGACAAGATAACTGGTCAGTGCCCCTGCAAACAGCTACTCATAGGAAGGACATGTAACCAGTGCCAAGTGAGTCTATAGTATGATGTACATGTACAATTATATATTTTTTGTATTATTATTATTTTAAAAGTAAGAAAAGTGAATTATGTCCATGAAAAAAGTTGTTGGAGAGGATTTTTTCTTTTTGGGAATGGTGGGGCTAATTTTGAATTCTGGTTATTAAGCAGTGCGAGAAGTGCTTTTTCAAAGGAAGCATTCATTCAAAGGAAAGTGCAAATTCAAGTACTTACATGTACTGAAGGAGTTTGATAACAGAAAAATAATGCATTTATCATTTTTCACACAGGATGGGTACTTTGGATTGACTTCTGAAGATCCTGGTTGTACTGCATGCAACTGTGACATGGCTGGCTCAGTGAATACCTCATGTTCTTCATCCGGGAAATGTTACTGCCGCCCTAAGTTCTCTGGGGATAAATGTGAAAAGATTGATGAGGGCTTCTTTGTACCTAGTGTACATTTTATGACATTTCAAGCTGAGGATGCCACACCCATAACTGTAAGTGGTACAAATGATTGTTACTTAGCATGCTGCCATTTGTCAAAATTAACGAAGATATTGTACATGTAGTGTTGTTAGAAATGAACAGGAAATTAACTAAGGATTAGTTGGTCCAGTAATCCATTGGTACATGTAGGTTTTGGAGACAGTCACTCTCAACTCTTTCTTTTATGTCTTAAAAGCTGATTAATATTCTTTTTGTTTAGTATTCTTTGTTGATCTCTTTTCTCTTTTGAGAAGCGAGGAATGTTGTGGGAAATGAGCTGAGACTCAACTAAACAATTAGGTGGACTGACTCAGATTATGTTTGGATTTTTAATATTGATTTTGAAAGATTTTATGCAAACAGGCTTTTAATTATTGTTGGACCTTTAGTAGTATTTTAATCCATTTAAATTATCATAATCCTACCAAATGTATCACTGACTTCAAAATATTTGTTTTTTCACAGCCACAAACAAAAAGGATCAGTCATGAGGAAATTGATAATGCAGCTGGAAACAAAGTTCTTATGGTTGGTGTGGTATTAAATGAGGGAATGAATAATTCCTCGCCAACTGAGCTGGAGTTCACTGTCAACATTCCCAAAACAGGATTCTTTAATTTTGTCCTACGTTACAAGGTGAGTTGTTCCTCCCTTGGGTAAGATATCATTTTAAATGGTAATGTTATTGTTTCCTAAAATTAACAAATGGTTAACACCACAGCGTACACTATTGAATTATGGATGCATGCGGGAGGTTGCTAAGCACAAGAGAAGCGCAAGAGTCGTGCGAGGCGATAGCCGAGAGCGACTCTAGCTTCTTGAGTGCTTAGGAAACCTCCCAAGTGCATCCATAACTCGGTAGTGTACGCTTTGGTATTGGTGTTTACCATTTGTTTTGTAACATAACATTGATACATTGTAGCTAAAGAGTTCCCTTTTATTTAACAAATCTTAAGTGACCAGAAAAAACAAGGGCGTGCGGAAAAATAGTCTTTGCATTTGCTCACGTCAGCAGCGTACACCCATAGGCAAATGGGGGACGCTAAATTGACCAATCAGAGCATGCGCTTTACTTTGGTTATGTTATAACAGTCTTTTTTTTAAATTCATTTACCAAAACTCGGTAGTATGAGAGGGGTGTTTGTGTTTTGTGGACCTAAAGAAGGACTCAAATTCAAAGAGTTATTGACAAATCTTGATAGTTTGCTAAAAATATTTTTTAATCAACATTTTGTATTTTGAAGACTGGTTATAACTGGAATTTGGTCAAGATAACTGCTTTGCTGCGGACAGCCTTTGTGCCCTTCACATGTAACAACATTGATCAAATCACCAAGAATGAGCCTCTTATCCTCACTGGGAGAGTGTTATCTGGAATGGATGCTCATGATTATGGAAGTCAGTGTTTATTAGCTGGTCAGTACAGTGTGAAGCTTCAAATTCCTGCAGGGAGTGCTCAACAAGGTGTTCTAGTCACTAGAAGGAGAAGGAGGGCATTGCCTAATGCAGAAATCACTGTTGACTCTGTAAGTTTGAACCATCTGCTGCTTATAATTTGCAATCTACAACCTATAGTAAGGTATAAAGGCTGATAGTTTCTAAAGAAACTGTTTAGGGCTGCGTCGGTGGGGGTAACGAAATAATTTGGATATACCAACAAAGTTGAAATGGTAAATTAGCCACCGTAACGATTACAAAAGCTGACATTTCGAGCGTTAGCCCTTCGTCGGAGCGAAACATTTGCTCCGATAAAGGGCTAACGCTCGATGAAGGGCTAACGTTCGAAACGTCAGCTCTTGTAATCCTTACGGTGGCCAATTTACCATTTGAGCTTTGTTGATAATTATATCCAAATTATATAGTAAGGTATGACTGTTGGGAGACAAATGTTCATCGTAAACCAGGTAATGGAAACTTGGAAACAGCATGCTGAAGGGCCAGCTTGCAATTGTGATCTCTTGTCTCTTGGTAGTAGGATGATACTGAATCAAAGGAAGCTCCTTGCTGTTATTGTAAGTGCTGTGGATGTTATGAAAAGGCAGTTAGTTTCTGAAAATTGAGATCAAATTCATTTTAAGCCTCACAGGGAATGCACACTTTTTCCTGTGGAGGGGGCCAGGAACAACGTCAAAATCAGTGGTTAGCATTCTGGAGTCTTGACCAAAGGTCCTAGTTGGAGCCCTGTTCAGAGTCACTGGGTTGTATTTTTAGGCAAGGTACTTAATGAGAGATAACCAGCAATGAACTACAGCATTCCAATGAGGAAGTGCAACAATAGGACAGTGCTGGGCAGTAGTAAATGATAACTGGAACAAAACAAAACATTTTTACATTTGAAGAGATTGTACAGTGAAATCCTACAGGATTGACTGGGGCACCAACACGGCCCTTATGTCATGTGAAAAAAAAAATCTGAAAAGAAAATTAATTTCAATTAATAATGTTGTTTTTTGTAATACAGGTTTTAGTCATGCCCACTGTTACGGAGTATGATGTCTTCAAGGAAGCATCTGCTGAAGTTCAACAAAACATGACATTTTACTACAATGTATCGTCATCCTTGAAAACCTGGTCAGCTGACTCTGAGGAAGGAAGTCAGGCTCTTGCACCAGTGTTTGGAAGCATTTTTGGAGAGGGCAAAGGTAACACTGATACTAACTTGAAAATTGAATTTATCCCATAGTTGTACAATGTTCAGGGAATATTGACCAGGGTAAACATAAAAGTGATTTTATAGCAATAAATTTTGGCTTGTACTACTCCTGACCAGTTATTCACATAATCAGCATAATTATTAGGTATTCCTATCGATGGCTTTAACTTGGAAATCACACTTGGTATGCTGGGGCCACCTGAAGTCTTCCTTCAAAATTTACATTGAAAAAAACTCTTAGACTATTCATGTACAATTGGCAATTATCTACTTACACTTGCTATATTTTTATTCAGCATGTAACTGTAGCTCTGTGGGATCAAACAACCCTGATGAATGTGATAGATATAGTGGACAGTGTTCCTGCAAGCCTAATGTGATTGGTCGCACTTGTGATCAGTGTAGGCCAGACTATTTTAACTTCACCTCTGGTCAAGGTTGCCAAGGTAAAGTAGACTCAATTGATGCACACTGCATGTGTTCAGAATATACCCTAGTCTAATATAAAACAGTGAGATAATAAGTTATATAGTTACATAGCTGAATGTTACTTACAATAAAAAGATAAGTTCTCTCAAAAGCATGTCTTGATAAACAAATATTTTTAACACTGTCTTATCAGACTAGTGTAATATTCAGTCAAGACTCAAACTTTAACTCAGTTATTGAGTATGAGAAGTATGAAATGTTTGATCTTTAACCCACAAAATATTTGCACTGTTAATCAGTCTCCTTGGATGGAAATGCCTGATTGAAAAAGACTTTAGGGGCAAGAAGCTCAGAAACCACTTACTTTATCTACATCTCAATGTCAAATTTGATTGCATGATGTTGTCCATGCCGTTTCTTTTTTGAAAATAACTTAAATTTACGTGTGCGTAGATTTTTGAAATACTGTATTTAAATATTTAACTTTCAAGAGAGATCCAGGTGTTACTGTTGAGTTGTTATTTAACTTATGTCTACAGTATCTGTGCACGATTCACCGAATCGAAATATGGTGTCCAATTTGAATTACTATTGTTTTGGACTTACTAGCCTCGTCTTGACGTGGAAACACAAAGGGATTATCATGTGTGAGAGGCTAGTCAGTCCAGAACAATGGCAATTCAATGCAAATTGGACGCCATATTTTGATTCAGTGTATAGCATTGGGAAAGTACAATTTGGGTTTAACTCATGAAATGTTCCTTTTTGGTTTTATTTTACAGATTGTGACTGTAACAGAATTGGTGCCAATGAAACATCATGCCATCCTGAAACAGGACAGTGTTCCTGCATGAAGAATGTAATAGGCCAACATTGTGAGCAATGTGAAACAAACTACTATAACTTTAACAGTGGGGCAGGCTGCTCTTCCTGCAACTGCAATCCCACCTACTCCACCAGTCTGCAGTGTGATGGTAACACTGGTGTTTGCAGCTGTAAGCCTGGTGTTAATGGAGCAAAATGTACAGGATGTGCTGATCAGTTTTACAATTTGACAGACCAAGGTAATGATTATAATAATTATACAGATGGTGAATTCCATGCTCTTTCTTGCTCTCTTTTAAGTGAAACATGAAACATTTGAATGTACAACTTCTGTCCATTTTAAAGGAGCAATATGAGACAAATATGGTCAGAGATTTTGTTTTTCATGCTTTAAGATTGTTGGTGCCCCCTCTGGTTTGGTTGTTTTGTGGTTAATACTAACTTTTCTGTTATTCATTTTTAATTGTTTTGGATTGAATGCCTTTTTTTATAGGTTGTATATCCTGTGAGTGTAACCTTGCAGGAAGTGCCAGCCCTGTTTGTAACAAGACTACAGGCCATTGTCCCTGTAAGGCCCAGTCTCTAGGCCGTCAGTGTGACATGTGCCCAGCTGGTTATTATGGTTTAAGTGTCCAGAATCCTCAAGGTTGTTTGAAGTGTCAGTGTTCAAATAAATCATCTGACTGTGTTACTGACCCAGGATGGTTTGCGTCAAATGTTAACACAAGTCTGTCAGTGTTTCATGACAGCAGTGATTTGGATGGTTGGACTGCTGTAGACAGTGCAGGGAACCAGGTCACTTTACTCCTGGACTGGGATGTCAGAATAAACATTAAAAAGTGAGTTCTAACATTTTATGTTGTTGTATTTACATAAAGTAGATAATTATATGACCCTATGCCCAATTACTTTGGTACATTCTTGAAGTCTATTTGAGCACAGTGATTGTTATACACTTTCCACTTTATGGGCTCAAGTTCAAGTAACTTTTCGCTTTTTTCATCTTTACATGTCATCCACCTGGCTGAGATCAATAAGAAAAGCGAAGTACAATCCACCAAAAAATCGGCCAAATTGTGAACCCTCTCTTTAGAATGTTAGGCTTATTACAAGTAAAAGATATTTACTATGGCCCATCTGTTCACATTTGGAAAACCAGGAGAGAACACTGTTTATCAATTTCTTAGTCATGTTCCATTGTGTATACCATGCAACACAATCACTTTTGAGTATTTATAGCTGTTTATACTAATTAGCTTAAAAAAAAAACAAAAAACCTTGTCAAAGAGGTTCATACATGACTAAGCCTTACACTTGTTATCAAGCATTCAAAGTCATCTTTTCCTCTGTATTTTTCTTCAGGGGGTCCATGAAAGTTGACACTCAAGGTTCAAATGATATCTATTTTGTTGCTCCTGACAAGTACCTGGGGGACAAGAGATCTGCATATACATATACATTGTCATTCCATTTACAACAGGACAATGCATCTAGCCCTGCGACATCCTCTAAGGGTGATGTAATCCTTGAGGGTAAGTGGTTTGATGAACCACTTGTCTCAAGCCTTGCCACTGCTCCACCAGATGGAGGCAATTTTAGGAAATATGAGGTACGGCTCAATGACATAATTATTATTCAACAATGATAGCTCACAATAATAAATTGATAAAGACAGTAATGATGATAATGACTATTATTATCAATTTGAGTGTTATTTGATGAATATATGAAGTTCAATATATTCAATGGAATATAAGAACGTGTTATAATTATCACAATAACAAGGATAATGACAGTAATGATGATGATGACTATTATTATCAATTTGAGTGTTATTCGATGAATATATGAAGTTCAATGTATTCAGTGGAATGTAAGAACGTGTTATTATAATTATCATAATAACAAGGATAATGACAGTAATGATGATGATGACTATTATTAATTTGAGTGAACATTATTAATCACAACTACAATGATAATTACAGTAATGATGATGATGATGATGACAATTATTATCAATTTGAGTGTTATCATCATCAGCAGCTTCATCAACGCCATCATAAATATGCGTGATTGACCAAGCGTGAGGTCAAGATGGCTGGATATTGGCCGAGTTCCTTTTTTTGCTTTTTATGGAGCGAGACGAAGTCGAGGTCCATAAGAACACACAAAAAAGAACGAGGCTTATATCCAGCCATCTTGACGAAACAAGCTTGATCAATGAAAGATTTCTTATACAGCAAAAAGAGTTTCGATATTGTAAAAATCAAGAGTGACTTGTTTATTTCGAGAGCCAGAAAATAAATGGAACTCTTTTTACAGTCGACTGTATTTTGCGACTCAGGGGAATTTGGATCAAGAGGTCTGGGGAAGTCTTGGCAACCATCAAAGTGTTGCTAGTCTACTATACAACTGCTCTTTCATATCTTCCTAAAGTTACCTTGCTGTTCTCATGTTATGCACCTTTTATTTAGCCTGGAACTTCGGCGACACCGATAAAAAACGACAAACAAGTCAAGTTGTGTCTTTGAAATAATTTGAATAAGAATCCTAAAGTTGAAATGGTAAATTGGCCACCGTTACGATTATAAAAGCTGACGTTTCGAGCGTTAGCCCTTGGTCGGAGCGAATAGGGGAATTGAGCGTTGTGTGTGCTTTTAAAGGCAGAAAAAGGAGCTACGTGATTGGTGGGTCTTTGTTGGGTGGGTCAAAGTTGGGTCTTTGTTTTGAATGTGAGAATGTGGATGTTATTAACTTAATCTATGTTATTTTATATTAGGTAAAACTTGTCCAGAGCAATTGGAGAGTAGGAAACACCTCTGGGCGGCAACCGTCAAGCTATGAAATGATTGTTGTATTAAGTAATTTGACGTCACTACGTATCAGAGCTAAGTGGACAACCCGGACAACGAAGCTGATTACCCGTTTGGCTGATATTGAACTGACTCTGAGTAGCAGGTGTGTAGCACATTTATTGCACAAGAGAGGAAAGGCTGTGGAATAAAGGCTCAAGTAAAAGAGTGCTTCTACCATTAATCTTGTGTATGTTTAAAACAAGTGAACCATTTTAAAGCAATATGGGATGTTAACGTTAGTTTTCTTTTCTAACAAGGATCTTACAGAAGTTGTACTGCTTTGCAGTTTGAATTCACATCCTAGTCTCCTTCGAATCCTTTTCCTAGCCTCGTCATGCAACAAGAACGTTAAATTTGACGAAATCAAGCAATGGATGCGATGAGGATTACGCTTAGAGCTTTTTAATAATTTACGGCTTTGTGTTAATAATACTGATTGTAAAGTGGATTGATTGTACTTTTTAGGGGCAATGTTATTCCTGGTATGGAGAGTGCATTTAACATTGAGAATTGTACATGCCCCGTGGAGTACAGAGGACAGTTTTGTGAACAATGCGCTTGTGGTTACACACGTGTCACGCCAAATGGAGGACCTTACGTGACCTGTGTACCGTGCGAGTGTAACGGACACTCGGACGAGTGCGACCCTGAGACTGGAGTGTGTCTGGACTGTAAACATAATACCACAGGTGTGGAATTTAAAAAAAAATTTTAAAGTGAGATTTGGAGAGTTAAGTATTAAATTGAAGGAGGCGAAAAATTTTTTTCTAAGGGACAAATGGGTGAATGAGGTAGGAGAAATGCACAGGAAAGAACTTCAAGATAGGAGATGGAATTCTAACGTTCGGTACGGTTTATACGCGACCAAATTTTATCAAGGTATTATCTTATCTTGATCTAAAACTACCAAATTTTAGCTTCTATAAATTTTCCTTTGTGAATTTTTGTCATTGCTTATCAGGCGATCATTGTGAAAAGTGTTCGGATGGTTGGTATGGCAACGCCACAAATGCCACACCTAACGACTGCAGCCCGTGCCCATGCCCCAGCAGACCAAATGCTGTCAATCAGTTCGCTAAGACCTGTGTACTTTCAAGTGACGGTCTACCAACCTGTGTGAACTGCACTGTGGGTCACGAGGGACGGTATTGTGAACGATGTATGGACGGTTACTTTGGGCGGCCAAGGGTAAGTTTGAGGCTCAGTGAGCCGAGGAACACGATAGATGGCATTCCCACTGGGTGTCGTGAAACCAAAAACCAAAGTAATCCAAGTGACCCAACAGAATATAGGAAAACTGCGCTAAAAGCGCAAATAAGTCAAACGAATTACATTCAAGCTGTTTGAAGCGTGTCGAAACGTGCCAGTTGCCATTAGTTTTAGCTTTGTAGCCGTTTGGTTGAGAAAGTTGCACCGAATTTACGAGCCAATCACAGAACGTGACTGGGCAATGCCAATGCAGTCTCAGAATACTTTGGACACTCATCGATCAGTGAAAATTGAAATGTAACTCTGTTCATGATGTTAATCGCACAGATACAAAGATGTATAAAATACACGTAGGTCCTTTTATGAAAGATCAAGTGAATCTCCCGTTAGGCCACTTTAATGTTCACCATCTTCTTCATTTTGATTTTACTACGCTTTGGTTGTTTGTATAGGTAATCGCATGATTTCGAGTGCAATTTGGAATAAATAAGCACGAGTAAATTTTTTCAAAGACTAACAAAATTGCATGAGCCCGTAGGGCGAGTGCAATTGGTGGTCTTTGAAAAAATAGACAAGTGCTTTTTTATTCCAAATTGCACAAGAAAAGCATGCGATTATCTGTTAATTATATACATGAAAAAATAAGAGGTAGCTTCTCATATCTACGCAGAAGAAAAGCGCGCGTATCACGTGTAAAAATAATTTATTCAAACCCTGCAAGTGACATTGATCTTGGGATTGACCTTGACATTGACCAATCATTCTGACCAATCAGAATGTCTGGTTTGTTTCTTTCTTTGCACTGAATTAACTCTCTTCTGCACTGAATTAACTAAAAACTGCATTCATCTTAACCAATCAGAACTGAGCAATTTTTTAATGTATATTATTAGAGTATAAAACTCTGTTTCATTTAAACTTATGCCGTGTTAAAGCTGCCTTTCTCTTTATTCTTACTTTTTCGTCATCTGTTCTTCCAGGACAAGTTGAACTGCCCGGTCTTCTTTTACTCTTTCTATTCATCTATGTATTTATTTATTTATTTATTTATTTATTTATTTTAACAGGAACAGGATGGGCAATGTCGCAAGTGTAACTGCAACAACAACACAGATCCAGCAGTTACCGGTAACTGTAACACCACAACAGGCGAATGCCTTAAGTGTCTTTACAATACTTCAGGGTCCAACTGCCAGTGGTGTGCGCCGGGATACCATGGAAATGCATTGGACAAAAATTGCACACGTAAGTATGTTCTTCTCAGAGGTTGGCAAGGTCAGGTCTGACAAATAGCTTAGTGTTAAATCAAGAGAAATGTTTTCAGCAGGATTGCGACGATAAAAAGGCGGATTTGATTTCAAATTTGCTGATTACTTGAAAAAAGTGTAGCTAAACTTTTAAGTGTGAAGAAGCCCTCCTACCCCCAGCCTATGAAATGTATTTGGCTTGCTATGGGTAACAAATACGCTTGAATTGAACATGCCAGGTGTTCTGATGTAGTGAAGCGTGAACATACAGAAAGGAGCTACACTCCCGGGCACCTTTGTTGGGACACCCCCCCCCTCCCCCCTGCCCCTCTCAATGTCAACGTTGGTCGGTAAGATGGGTTAGAAACATTGGAAATTAACTTTATTGGAGGGGGGAGGGGCGAATGAATATCATAGACGTTGTTCTGGAGAAGTCTCCCACCTAGTTATGTCTGGGAGTGTAGGTTGCAAGGCCATTTAGAGCAGATGCGAACTGCACAAGAGAAAGAGGGGGCCAGCGAGAACAGATTGCAAATACCACTTGGTCAGTTTTTAGCAGGGAAAAACTGAACTGTTTATTTTTTGAGATTTGACACACTATCTGATCAAAGGGGAAGGTCGTGCGAGATTTTTGAAACCAACCACAGTACTATAAAAGGGAACGGCGCATTTTTTGTCAACTCTCAAAAATCTCTGTTTTGCATCGACTTGCAGGTTGCAACTGTTCAACTGTTGGTGCACTGAATAACGAATGTAACAACATGACTGGTTCGTGTTACTGTCAACCTCATGTGACGGGAAAGTTGTGTGATAGATGTGAAGTGAACGCTTTCAATTATACAGAATATGGTTGTTCGCCTTGTAACTGTGACGTTGACGGCTCACGTACACTTCAGTGTGACTCGGTAAGCCACGGATTCCTTATTCTTCAGTCATTGCTATTGAAAATTTCAAGATCTAGTGTACCTCGCGTCCTTAAATAAAGTTTTAAAAGCTTAACTTTACTGAGTTTGTTTTGAGTTTTCCAAGCCTCTTTATCCTTCGGTTTTTGGTTTTCGATTTTCTTGAAACTTTGGCCCTAACTTTTCAAGGTGGTTATTTAGTAAAAAAGTTTACTTTCAATTGGTATCTTTACGTTTGTTCCATTTTGGTAAACTGCCTCTTTCTTGGTCTTAGTTAAACACTGTAATTTGGGTTTTTTCAACTGAGTTGATAATGTATCTTGGCCACCGTAAAGAGTTTCAAAGCTGACGTTTCGAGCGTGAGCCTTTCATCATTTGCTCTGACAAAGGGCTAACGTTCGAAATGTCAGCTTTGAAACTCTCTACGGTGGCCAAATTACATATTTAACTCAGTTGATAAAACCAAAATCACCTTCTTACTCCCACCGACGCAACACCACAGTTTCAGTCATTCCTTAGTTAAATACAGGGTTCGTACGCGTCTTGAAGACCCTTGAACTTCAGGAGGCCGATTTCAAGGCCTTGAAAGTACTTGAATTTCGTTTTGGGTCCTTGAAAGTCCTTGATTTTTTATTGAACAACATCGAAAAATATCTGCTTTTGTTTTGCACCATCGGTAAACCAAAAACATAGATGTTAACAGAATCATTTTTCTTGGTTTTGAGGTAAAATTGTCATTTCAAAAAGTCATTGAAATTTCTAAGTAGGGTCCTGGAAAGTCCTTGAAAAGTCCTTGAAAAGTCCTTGAATGTTTGGCCCGAAAAAGTGTACGAACCCTGTAAATATAGCCTGCAAAGTTAAGTGTTTCTTTTTTTGTGTCTTGGAGCATTGACGAGAGGCTTGGGACGGAAATTTTGGAGTGGTGTCTCCACTTTATCCACCGCTTTTCGTTTCCATGGCTCCGCTGCCTTTACTCTTATTGAGTCTTAAATACCGTCAGATTCACAATCGGTGAACTACGTATACATTTAAGTTCTTAGGTTGCAAGCATCGTGTGGGTGTTATCACTCTTATCTGTAAAATCGTTTAGCTCCTCTACCGATCAAAGCGAGTAAGTCAACAGTTTCTCAGTCCTCACTACTCGAAAGTGTCGAAGAAAGAGGCTCACGTGTAGTTTTGATGTGGGAGAAATTTTGTTTGGTAGTTGTTGATGTGTTTCCTTTGTGTATTATTCCTCTTTTAGAGCTACGGGAACTGCACCTGTAGACCAAATGTGATTGGTGAAAAGTGTGACAAGTGCAAGGATCACTTCTTTGATGTAAAGCAGCATTGTTTAGGTAACACATCGATTGACAAATTTTGAAAATATCTTCAGTTTTAGTTCTGTCGCCGTTCTGCGTCAGCGTCATTCATTTTTGGCTCGCATGTTGTCTTTTTCAGCGTGTAACTGTACAGCAAACCAAACTATGGCTAATACTACCTGTGATAGGGTCAGTGGTCAGTGTGATTGCGAAACTAGTGAAGCAGGAGGTCTCTAAGGGGGCAGGCAGTGCGATACGTGTGCTAGGAAAACTGTGGGTAAGTGGTTTACTAAGAGTGATACAGTGACTTGAGAACGAATGATTCATAAATTAAGATTTTATAAATTAAAAGTTTTTCTCCTAAACTGAACAATTTTTCGACAACAATCTTTATACCTCTGTTTTGTGGTCTTTGTAGTTCATTCTATCTAATTACGGAAGACACGTTTAATTTCAGGTGATTCCGTTTACCGGGTAACTGCGGGCTATCCCGTCCGATATCGGAAGTTTCCATATGACTTCGGACATTTCCGTACGATATCGGTCGGTTCCAAATGATTTCGGACATTTCAGTCCGATTATGCACACTGCCTTCAGTTATCGGTCCTCATATACTATCCATGTTTTCTTTTCGTGTCATTAATCTTATACTATCCATGTTTTCTTTTCGTGTCATTAATCTCTTTTTTGATGTACTCCCGAAACATCAACGGGTTTAATTGACCTGGAAATCGTGGTGGTTTGTACGGCACAGTTTGATGGAAATTTTTTGGCGTACTTCAATTACACTGGAGCTGTCTATCCAGAAATATCTGTTAATTTATTCCCCTGACTGTTTATTATTCATTTCTTATGATGTAAGTTCAGAGAATATGAGGTTAAATCAAAGAATGACCTTCCCGTCCTGTCTGCTCCAAAGTGTCAAGTTATTGTTCTGAGAAACTACTTATTAGTTCCTTTAGGGAGGGAAGGGGTAATGATCTCTGTCCATAGGGCGTAGGACTGAAAACGTTTCTATGTTTTTCTTTTCAAGGGACCCCTCCCACGTGTCATCCGTGCACCGAGGACTGCTACTTGAATTGGGAAAACAGCATATCCAGAGAAACTGTCAGAGTCAAAGAGCTGTACGGTAACGTTACTGAGCTACTGAAGTCGTTTGGGAGCATGTCGGTGGATAGCATCAACAGCACACTTCAGAAGTTGAAAGAGAACGTGACCTACGCGGAAGAGATATTCAGCAGCGGTGGAAAAGAGGATCTGCAAAAGAAGCAGCAGCAAATTAACAGGGTAAGGCAGGGGAAAGTTGCCATCCTGTTTTCAATTTTTAATGAGGATTTTTTTCTTAGTATTCGTTGTTAATTTCTAAACAGTTACTTATCTGTTATTCTGTATACGATTTTAGACTTGTTAGTGGTTAGGACCACTTGGCAGCTGTTAAATGACGAAAGAGTGTCGTTCTGTTTTCTATACCAGTAGTACTGCTTGGCTATAATTTCTTCCAATTTCACCTGTTAAAGTAGCACAACTCAAAGACTGGCGACTCAAATATACCGTGAAGTGTGTGCGATGAGCCTATTTACCAGCTTAATTCCAAGGGACTCTTTCAGGACGTGTAACATTTAAAATGTTAACTTTCACTCAGAAGCTGCAGTGCTTGCCAAGAACATTTTTTTCTCGTTTTTTGTAGATTCAAAACTCTATAAGCTCTCTCCAGCGTCAGCTGAACGATTCCAAGAGTTTGATTGAAGACGCTCAGACCTATATCTCGAAAGTTGTGACAAACTTTACTGGAAGTATCCGAATCGTTCCCACTGATTCCATGATGTACTCCTCGTCCCCTGAAGTCTGCCCCAGTGGGGGAGGTATGAGTGTGATCGTGGACTGGAAGTGTATTGAAGCCATGGCAACGATCTACCGCCTGCGTGCGGTGGAAGCTAATGAATCAGGACATGCAAACTACTCGAGTATTCAAAGTAGTTACAGTATGGTAAGTGACGTGTGAATTTAAACAAGATATAGATTCTTACGATATAGCGATGTCGCTTTGATCGCTGCCCAGGGTCGCAAGATTGTTTGATTCGAAAAGCCAGTTACTCGCCCCTCCCTAATTTTGGAATTGTGCTTGGGAATTTTGAATTAACCCTGACGGACTAGGGGCTGGGGTAACCTACGGAAGACCAGCGTTCCATCCAGGTAGGGTAATGTTGCTCGTAATTGCCTCAGAATATTCTCTAGCTCTGCGTGGCGCTTGAACCCTGTGAAACGTTTGCCCTTCCGATGGAACTGTGACCTCCCTGCGGTGAAAGTGCTCCTTTTTCTAAGACGAACATTGTGTAGAAATTGGAGTCAAAATCACAATCAAAGAAATGTTTTGAAACGGAAAGCTGACGTACTTTCGAGTGTTGTTTCTGTTATTCTGTGATTCGTACGTTATAAACAATTCGATACCCGATTAGTGGCTCAATGCTATTTGTTTTCTTCTTGACATGCAGATTCAGCAAGCGAACGCTACAGCTTACCATGCCGCTAAGCAGATCACTGACTCCTTAGAAAAACTCTCGCTCGTTACATTAGTCAGAGAAAGAGTAGAATCGGACGTTGGTGACGCCTTCCAGGCCTTATACCGCAATAACTCAATGCGACTTGAAGAAATCAACAAAATCAACGAAATGCTGCAAGCACTGGTGAAAGAAGCGGAAATGATTGGAGAGCAAGCAAACGGCAATTTGACCATGGCTGTGAAAACCGCAAATCGATCAAAGGATCTAGCCGGTCAGCGGAAGCGAGAAGCACAGAGTGCGCTGGACAATGCCACCAATGCACACTCTGATACTTTGCAGGCCAACACTGAGGCGAATAACGCGTTGAAGGCAGCCATGAGTTTTGAGGTGAGTAAGGGCTTTGATAATAATCCTATTTCGGTTTCTTCGAGTTCTTCGAGTGACGTCCTGTGTAAAGAATCGGCGTAGCTTCTTTTGGCCAGTTTTTTAGTTAGGGAGGAAAACTGAGGTGGAAAGGCAAATTCAATTTAGTACAAAGAATCATCATACCAAAACGAGAAGCTTCTAACCCTGTTGTAGGTCATAAGCTTCTTACCAAAACACACTAAGTGAGAGCTGCGAACCTTCACGCTCTCTAACAAATTTTCGCCGAATCGAAATATTGTTTTGTGACACCTTGAAGTGGGTTGATTTTTGTGTTTATTCTTTAACTCAGAAAGCGATGAACGCGTTTCTTGCCCTCATAATATCTACGCCGACATAATTCGGGAAATGGCTGATCAGAGTAGAGGAACGCGTCATAAGTTCCCTCGCCTCTTTTTTTTTTACCCCTTTTTGGAAAACGCATTTTGATGGTGCCTTCTTATGTCAACCATGAGCCGAGGAGTAAAATTTCCTTACATCTTACGTTACAGGAAAATGCCACAATGGTACTCGAACAAACACAAGATGCCCTAGGTAACGTATCCGCAGGAATCAACACAATAGCCAGAGTTATCAACATGACAAAGGAAGCGACGAGTATTGCAGATGAAGTCCGTGCCATGAACATGCCCGTGAGTCTGCAACAGATCCAAAACCTGACTGATGAGATTTTGAACACAAATGTTAGCCAAGAAATGGTGAACCAGACTCTTAAAGCTGCTCAGGATGGTCTGGAACAGGCACGTGAAGTGGAAGCTCTTTCGCAGAGAGCCGTGTAAGTGCAAACCTAGGTTTGCTTCTCAAATGTCATTATAGTACTAGACCCCTCGTGTTATCAGGTGTTCGTATCTCGCCTATCCTTATTTTTAGCGCTTTGGCGTACACGAGCGTTTGTTCCCACGGGTGGAGAAACATACTTCTTTCAGCGCCACTGAAAGCCTGCTTACAGGCGAGGTTTTGCCTTCCAGCTTATTCACCTCTTGCACTAACGGCAGCCCGGCTCTTATGGATAACTTAATCGAACCACGGGCTCTAGATCTGAAAGTGCACTTTTGGAGATTGCCACATACGGAATGCAAATTCTCCGCACACTTCTGTATGCATTACCTTTGACACTTACAAGAAGAATTTGTCAATTTGAGTTCGCGATCATCTCTTTTATCATCATGAGCTTTTAAATGTTTGTTTCAAGAGTGGTGGTGTTGGGAGACACTTAGTTGCTAATCATCCTCAGGAAGAAAGGGTTAAAGTTCGAATTGCGCGTCTAAGTGGTGAGGTCTTGCGTGACACCGTGGAACACGGCTTCTAACCAAATTAAATGGCAGTTTAATAGTACTCTTTTCGACTCTTCTCAGACTCGTTCGTCAAGTGCACTGTTTTTTCTAAATTTCTGTCTTAATCTATGCTTTTTTCTTTCTTTCGCAAAGAAATGTTGCACAGGAGACTCTAAATCAAGTGCAAGGAATTGAAACAGCTCTGAACTCATCAGAGCACATTCGACAGCAGGTTACGTCTCTTCAGCAAGAAACTGACGGAATGGTTGCTGACATCAATAATATCACTGAGACGGTACGAAAATGAACTTCAATCGCGTTGCACGGAAGTGCCTTTACTTGTTGGTAAATGCGCGTAAATGCTACATGTATAACTCCGGGAACGCAGTAGGATGAGTAAACACATTGGATTATCAGAAACATGGGTCTTTGTGTCATAAGCTTTTCGCTCCACGGCTTGCCTCATTATGCCGAAACGGAGAAGTATCCCTTGCACTTAGTAGCCACCAAAAGTTAACTTTACAAACTGTTTACCGATGTTCTGAGTTTCAATCCAATTTTCTATTGATATCGATACGAATCTTTGATTTTGAAGAGAAGTATTCCTTTACGCAGTGGCTAAACAATTGCCCTTACACAGCGGAAGCGGAATTATATCGATTTTATTTGTTTTACATAATTTGTTATTTTACAGCTAGCCAAGCATGAAAAATCTAGCGGGCGTTTGGTAATTATAGGAAAAGCGCCGACCCTGTGCCGGCCGAGAAAGGAGTCTTTCATTCCGCTAGGGAATGATAAGCGTATGGCTTTTGTTCCTCCTTGTTGTGCCGACTCTGCTATTCACTGGAAGTTGCATAATGAAGCTCTCGGTTAGTGTTCGTAATGTGATGCATTTTGAATTTAAAACTGTGGTGATTGTTTCGGTTCCTGTTAGGTTGAACATCACTTCTCAGCTTCGTACTCCGCGGGACAGAGTTTACTGACCAAGATAAACGAAACTCTCGATAATATGGAAGAAGGATTAACCTGCTTTGATACTGCGAAGAATGAAGCACTGAATGCGTCGCGCACAGCTGAACTGGCCTTCAACATCTCGAAGGAAGCGAAGGAGGTAAGTATCGTACAAGTCCTGAAATTGTTACATTAAACTGTCACCATGAGAGTTTCCACTCGCAGTCATAACTTAGCGCGCGGAAAACCACCAGCTGTGCAGGCGAAAAAGAAAGAAGCGTACATGATCAGGGCAATTGAAAGAAACAGGTGAACGCGTCACTTTGATCTGTAAGCGCAGCATACCTAGGCGCTCTCGCTCTTATGTATGGCACGCATGCGTATTCGGCAAAGTTTGTCCAAGGCTCGTACTTGAGCTTTCACTAAAAAAGGTGGACCAAAGCGCTTGTCAGTTGAGTGCTAAAAGTCAGAGCATGAGAACTTAAAAGGTAATTTATTGTGAACGGCTTCTAGCGCCTGAAAACACAGGTAATCAGGGAATAAGCGATAGGTTTTCGTTAAGCATCTAATTGGTTTAAAAATTGCGCATTTGTAATATACCAATCACTGAGTGTAGAAAAGCACAACCAATTCAATCCCACATTACTTTTGGACTATTTGCGACTTGAAATTGAAAAATGCCCAAACTAGTTTTATTGTTACCGGCGTCGTATACAGCCTAATACCGCGGTTTGGACCGAGGTTCCGAGGGATACCTCCGTCTACAACGCGTTTTATTGCATTGGTGATAATAAATCTCATACTACGCTCGGAAAATCCAGGTTTCTGTTCAGCCGTGGTGTGGAGTATTCATTATGATTTGAGTTGATTATTTTTTCTCTTTTTGGCAGACATTCGACAACAGCACAGCATCTTTGCCACCAGTCGCGTCCTTGGTGAACTCTTCCTACGAAGCAGCAAGCGGAAACTTCTCAGAAATACAACAAGCTCATCAGGATTCAGAACAACTGCTTACAAATGTGACAGACGCTGAAGGTATGTTCATTGGAACACTTCGTTAGTTTTCTGGCGCATTTCAGTGTTGTTACAACCTGGCTTTTTCGAACGCAATGAACCGATATTAAAATGAGAAAAACGGGAGACAAAGAAACATCTGAGTTATCTGTGACGATTCGTCTTGTCCCCTCCAGTTCCCGACTCTCTGTCGAGTTTTTACCTCCTGAGTATCTGAGAACTCGTTGTTGATCTACACCATTTATTTGTTTCATATGTGACAAGCCTCCTGTATATTGTTGGTATCACTAATCCTCCAAGGGTTCAGTCTTTAGAGTGAGAAAGACTATTCCTGGAGTTCGCCCGGTCGTCAAATAATTTTTGGGTAGTAGGTGACCAGAACAGAACAATTTTTGTGATTCTTGAAGATTGTTCATAACCCCCCCCCCCCGAAAACCATTTATTTTTAAGCCCTGTTCGTTTTTGTCTCTCCAGCAAAATATATATTTTATTCTTTCAGAATTGCTGGCTCAGTATATCGCACAGAGAGACGAACTCGAAAGACTAGGTCGAGAACTGCAAGAACTTGACAAAGAGGCAGATCAATTATTAGGACAGTATAGTGTGGCTGCTGAGCAGTATTCACAGTGTACGGGCGCATAACGGGCACTAGTTTGGACAACAGACGTCAGTGTTTAGTTTTGTATATCATATATCTGTATAACGATCTTATTTTGACTTACTTACAAAGACAGTTGAAGGACCTAGTCTTCTATTGTAAGAGGGTAAGAAAATAGTTTTTACATGTGATGCACGATCCTCGCAGTAGATAGCGCTATTTAAGCAATAGCGAAAATCAGACCTGAAAAAAATCAGGCCTGTACGGGATTCGAACCACTGACCTCTGCGATACTAGTGCAGCGCTCTACCAATTGAGCTAACAAGCCAACTGGGAGCAGGCCGTTAAGTTGATTCGTAATAAACCCGTGAAAGTGATAAATGAGATAAATGAAATATATGAAGCTCATATATTTTGTACTGCGGTATTAGATACATATGATGCACGATCCTAAATAGCGCTATCTACTGCGAGGATCGTGCATCATATGTATCTAATACCGCAGTACAAAATATATGAACTTCATATATTTCATTTATCTCATTTATCACTTTCACGGGTTTATTACGAATCAACTTAACGGCCTTCTCCCAGTTGGCTTGTTAGCTCAATTGGTAGAGCGCTGCACTAGTATCGCAGAGCCGGGTCAGTTGTTCGAATCCCGTACAGGCCTGATTTTTTTCAGGTCTGATTTTCGCTATTGCCTAAATAGCGCTATCTTCTGCGAGGATCGTGCATCATATGTATCTAATACCGCAGTACAAATTATATGAACTTCATATATTTCATTTATCTCAAAATAGTTTTTACTTCTTACTCTGTGATCAAGTCGTGTTATTTTTATCGGTTTTGCCTGCATTTTAAATGATTTTCAGTGTAAGTAAAATCCAGTAGCGAAGTTCATAGACGCTTTAAAATCTTCTGTGCAGGGCAGATTCTGCAGTTGTAAAGGAGTTGCGTCATGATATTTTGAGGCATTTTTAAGGGGAGGAGAGGGGTCATCATACGTGTTTTCTAATGGAAAAGAAAGCAGTAGATAATAGTTCAAGGGGGCGAAACTCCAATCAGATAAATTAAAAAACAGGAAGGAAGGACGATTCTGGATGTAGACGATTTTATGTACACGGATGGATGGAAGCCCCGATAAAATTGTGGGTAGAATTACGAGATGCTTAACTTGGCTCCTTTAAGAGTTTTATCGTACGTAAGGCAACTGAATGCACAATGATGATTGATACAAGTTTTGAGCTCAGCAGATGCTTGGAACACGGATATTTGGACATGGACACGTTAAAGTTTGATTTGTATGTGTACAAGTCTTCCAGGACCTCAGAAATTGTCAATTTAGTTAAATTCTACTGAAGTATTACTAAATTAATATTTCTTAATGGTTAAAGTGTCCATACCAATCAGTCTATACTTTGGGGTTTAAAATGGCCAGTTATTCGTAAATTTGCTGATCAGCTCGGGGGTTTTGTTATTTTAAACTTTTCAAACCTCTATGAGGATAAAAATTACACCTATTAGCGCTGGCAATGCATGAAGAATGCCTCTTTCTGGATGCTGTGGCTATGGAAGAGTTTATTGTTACCTGTCATTTCTATATTTCCTTCTCGAAAAAAATGCGCACGAAATAGCCGCACTGAGAAGTCAAGCTTACTATTGTTCACTCGAATTCACTTGGCAGCGCCAATGGGGAGATTTTTTATTTACATAAGCTAGCCACGTGTTGGCGCATCTTTTCCAGGGAGCATTGTTACTGATCCTGATGCGTGAAAACGTAGACCTCTCTTTCAGGAAAAACTCAAGTAACAGTTGACTCAAGTTACAAGAAGTTGTCTTATTTAGGGTGGTCAAAGCGAATAGAAATAACTGTAACCCACGCAAAGTCGTTCCTATCACACGGTTTCGCGAACACTAACAATGCTCCTTGCGGAGGTGCTAGAAGAAAGCGTTACCCTTTTTGTTGTTATACTTGATTGACTTTCTTTGGAGGAAATCGTTAGTTCTAATAAATACGCCCTGATCAATGGAGCTAGTTAGATGGTAAATATATATCGGTTAAGAGTGTGTTGTACAGTATTTATTTATAACTGAGATGAATGATAGTTGACATTTTTACATTCAATTTAAATGAAAATAAAACTTTTTTTTATCAATACCTATGGGCTTGATAGATTCTAAACGACTCAACCATGCATTGACGTTTCAACCATACCCCAGGATGAGTAAAGAAAGGTGGGATACCGTGAGAGAACTGAGGACGAGTGCTTTATCTGAAAACTGCGAAGTGAACGAATTAATCCGCTAGACCTGTCGATATCAACAGTCTATTCCAGGCTAAATCCTCTTAACATTTTGTCTAAAGAACCCAGTAAGGTTTCAGCTCAGGTGGCTGTGACACATCACATCAGCCAGCCAAATCTTGTTTCGTCTCGGACAAACTTGGTAATTTCACTCTTAAAAGGAGAGTGTTAGAAAAGAAATAAGTAGTTTTACCAGACAGATTTTATCACAGATTTTAATGTGAACCTTCAATACCTTTGTTAATATTGCTCTACAATAACTGAGTTATGTGCCCCAGGATACATACAAACTTTAGTAAAAATATATTTCCAAGGATTGTGAATGTTTCCACAACAGTCTTCAAACGAATTTACCTCTGCTGGTCACAGACGGTTCGATAAAACGTAAACTATTTCAGTGAACGTTTAACTTATTAGTATTCAATTTGCCTTTACTTTTTCTTTACAAAGCTAATCGTTCAGCTTGTGAGAATGAGCAGTTTGATCAAAATCGAAGAGTATCGTCAGCTCGTAAATTTTTTAATATCAAGGGGAGTTTGCTGTTCATTAATTATCAAAAATTCAAACTATGATAAGGACCAAACCCTGAAGGTTAGTCCGAAGTCTCGAAAACAGACATGTGAGCCAGTTTGCCTGAAGTACGACAAAGCGATGACCATCATCGAAACCGTGATAAGCTAAATATAGTTTTAATCCTTGCCCTCGAGTGACAGTTAAAAAGGCCTTATGATGTTCGCAGAGACATAAGCTTTTATGGTAACACGGATAAGAATCACTTGAATTTTCGGAGAGTACAAAATTTGGTTCACCTGGCAAAAAATATATTTATTCTCGTCTCGGTTTAATCGCCATAACTGCAAAGCCACTTGCAAAAAAGAAAGCGCTTTTCCTCACATTTTGTCGTTTCGTTGAGCTAAACGATACAGGCATTGTCGCAATCATTCAATAGATGTTCACCAGGGATTCCTCGTTATGCTCTGTCTCATCGTAAACAGTATTATTATCCAAACGTGCTTCGTATAGTACAAATAACGCGCGAGACGACTTCAAATATCACGCGATATTTGTACTCCAGAAATATCCGCGAAATTCGCCCGCAATGAAATGACAATTTGGCGTACGCGCTCGTAAAAATACGACACAACTCGTAAAAATAGTCAGCGATAATCCACAACAAAACTTCTAACAAGTTATATATATTAACCGCTGCTAATAACGCTTAATCGTTTCACACATGAATGATCTTGAGTGCGGCGCGGAACCAATTTTTATTTTTTTGTTTTTTCTTTTCGGTTGAGGCTATTTGTTTTCCTTTGTAAAAAAATGGCTATCTTCTCGTTCCATGTATATGTAGATATTCGTAGATCATTTAGGCTCGATTACCAGCCGCCGTTTGGGGAGGAACGAGAAAGACCGGACTCAGAGAGCGGCGGAAATCGACTTGCGCTACTACGCTGTAAAGCAGTTTTCGAACGAGGAATAAACATGTAAATCAAACGCTTGGCGCCCTTTCACTGGTGTAAGTGACGTCACTAATTTCCCTCCACGATGAATTTATCATAAAGACGTGTGATTAAGGAAGTTTACTCGTTTTAATTCCTTTTTAGAATAGAATAGACTTTATTTCAAGAGGGTAGCACGTGACANCAATAATTAAACTGATGATCCTGTGGCCCTCTAAATAATCCCAACCCATCCCACCCCAGGGGAGGACATCTATCACAATAATCTCGTGCGTGGGAAATTAACGTCTCCTGCCCCTAACCCTGCAGGAGACGGGACCTCCTTTTATTCGTCCCTATCCGAGAAGAATAGAATATCTAACCATTTCTTGATGTTATAGAAAAGTAACATATTATTCTCAATTATTTTAAGACCTTGAGTGTTGGTCCGGCCGGGGCTCGAACCATCGACCTCCCGCACAACAGTCCAGCGCTCTACTGAGCTAACTGGGAGGCGGTAGAGCTTTTTGCCCCTGGGGTTCTAATTATTCCATAGATAAGATTAATGTCGAATCAGTCTCAGTACTCGGTCACTAGGGTCTTTTCATTCTGTATGCAATCTTATAGCGATACGACAGACGGAAATATTTTGCTCTTGGCGGAATTAAAAAAAATATATCAAATTTGCAAATTCATTATCATGTTGGCATAGAGAGGTAAATGTACTGCCCAAAGGGTGAGGTAGCTATTCTCGAGTTTCATGAAATAGCTGACATATTACAAGCGCCCTGATTGGTAATAAACCCTCTCGTTATTGCAACTGTAAACCCATAGGTTTCAGCGAGCAGTCAGAAATCCTATTGAAATGAAAGAAGTGAATAAATGTCTGTTGCTTGATAAGTATGACTTAAAACTTAACCGATAAGGAAGCATCAGAATATCTTTACTACAATTATTTGTATACTTCGAAAAACCAATTCTTGTCCAATATGAAACAAATCTTTGTAAATTCATTATGTTGGAAAAAAAAATCTCAAAGCAAGAAATGAATTCAAACCACTTTATGAACATCTCCCTCCTTTGTAGAAAAGTGTTGTACTGTTAAAACTACAAGCATTTTTTGACTTGGGAATGAAACAGAAATGTATGTGTAATCTATGCAAAGTCGTTGTTATCGCTTTCCTTAACTCTGACATTAACTCTGAGGAACACGAGTATCGAACGTTATACTTTTGATGTTATACTGGATTAACTTTCTTTGTAAGAGAATTTAACAGATATCATTGACACGTGTTCGTCCTAATCAATGATACAGCTAATTAGGTCAGAGGTAAATGTAACTCGGACAAAAATGTGTTGTACAGTATTTATCTATAACTGAGATGAATAATAGTTGGCATTTTTACATTCAATCTATGTGAAAGTAAGGGCTAAACCAGTGTCGTTACCACCAAACCCCAGGACGAGGAAAGAAAGATGGG